AAGTCATTACATAATTCCTTTGTTCACAGGATATTGACGGTAGAGCCACTGATGTTGCATTGGGGTGGTCAGTTGCCCTTGGTTCTCCTTTCACATTTGCTACAACATTAGAGCAGGAGTACAAGAGTGACATCTTTGGGGAGCGAGGTGATTACTTTTTCATTTTCATATTGTTTCGTCTGCAGTCAACTTGAAATGTTTAACTTTCTGTATATGGTTTTTAGGCATTTTACTTGGTGCTGTTCACGGAATTGTGGAGTCCCTTTTTAGAAGGTACACTGAAAATGGAATGAGTGAGGATTTGGCTTACAAGAATACTGTGGAATGCATAACAGGAATTATTTCAAAGACCATTTCAACACAGGTTATAATTATATCCTAGTTTAACTTTTGTATTTTATCTTTGCATCTGTCCTGACATTTGTTCCATGCATGTATGATAATTGGATATTTTCTTTTTCTTTTTCTTTTTCTTTTTTTCTTGTTTTCTTGTAAACAGGGCATGTTGGCTGTGTACAATGCATTGTCTGAAGAGGGCAAAAAGGAATTTGAGACTGCATATAGTGCCTCATATTATCCATGCATGGATATTTTGTATGAGTGTTATGAAGATGTAGCCACTGGGAGTGAAATCTGCAGTGTCGTCTTGGCTGGGCGGCGCTTTTATGTAAGTTCATTTTATCTTCTATTTCAAATATTGTAATTTGAATGATGTCATCACTATTTTATGTAATTTGGACTTAAATTATCTAGTGAGTAGATGGACATTCTTTTTGAATCTCTTGCTCATCAGATCATCAAGGTTCAATTTTAGTAATATTGATATTATGATGGTGTAACTTCTGTTCTACTTTCTTTTACAGGAAAAGGATGGTCTCCCAGCTTTCCCAATGGGGAAAATTGATCAGACACGCATGTGGAAAGTTGGGGAGCAGGTCCGGAAGTCACGACCAGCCGGTGATTTAGGGCCATTATATCCATTTACAGCTGGTGTCTATGTGGCATTGATGATGGCCCAGGTATGGTACTTTGGTAACTAGAAAACATTCAAGTAGTAGAAGATCCAAAAAAATAGTAGAGATTTATAACATTTGAGAGATTTGAGAAAATTTTCACCTGCATGTTGCATGAGTCATGTTTTTGTGTGTTTGAAAATTTCAGATTGAGATCCTTAGGAAAAAGGGGCATTCCTATTCTGAGATCATCAATGAAAGTGTGATAGAATCTGTGGATTCTTTAAATCCATTCATGCATGCCCGAGGAGTTTCTTTTATGGTTGACAACTGCTCTACAACAGCACGGTTGGGATCAAGAAAGTGGGCACCTCGATTTGATTACATCCTTACACAACAGGCCTTGGTAGCAGTGGATATTGGTACTCCAATCAACCGAGATCTGATTAGTAACTTCCTTTCAGATCCAGTGCATGGAGCCATTGAAGTCTGTGCTCAGTTAAGGCCTACTGTCGACATTTCTGTGACGGCTGATGCTGATTTTGTGCGACCTGAGTTGCGTCAATCTAGCACTTAAGCTCTATAAGGTTGTTTAACCATGCGGCAGCCCACAAAAATCCTATCTATAAGGTTGTTTTAGGGAGAGACACTTCTGCTTGAATGAATGAGTAATGTATTGTCATCTTTAGTGTACTTTGCCTTGACTTGCTAGTTTGTAATTGGAGGATCGAAACTTTATGTATTGCTTTAGAACTTGGATCTGAACAACCATTGGCTTTGGCCTTTCCGTAGCTGTAATCGTCTGTGAGAAGCACTTTTAAAAAGCCCTAGGTTTTGGTTCAGAGGATAGTGGATGCTTTCTTTGCTTCTTTATGGATGAATCATAAATCATGCTCTTTGACTGCAATAAGTCCATTACATTCTGAATGGTCTAGTTTGAATTGCAAATCCTGTTACTCATCATCTTTACCAATCATGGAATTTTCTTGCTGCTCCTGTTTGCAGTAGTAAGAACCCTTTCTTGTTAGCATGTCTAAGAATTTATGAAGATTAAGTATAATGACAAGGGAGAAGGGTTTGGTTCTGAGTCTTGTATACTCACTGATGTTATGGTCCAGATATCGTTCAAAAGAAAAATAGAAGGCCAAGATATACAAAGGAGTATGTAGATTTTTGCAATACATTCGATATAGAATCAACGCTAGTTCCCTCATAGATTATAGACAGATCCAGAAAATATAACCACAGCAGATTACATCAAACATGAAATAGTGCTACCATAGTCTTTTATCGTAAGATTTGTACTTACGCAGTTGGGGAAGAGGCTTGCATTGCGATGCCATAAAGGCCTTCCTTCGCACTTACATCTCTTTGCATCCTTATATAGCCTTCCTCGTCCCAACTTGTGCCCCACGAATTCTTCACCAACCAATACTTAGTCTCACCATCACCGACTCTATAACCAACAACAGTGATGCCATGATCAAGATTAGTTCCACAATCTACTGTGAATATACCAATCGAGTAAAATTGGGATAGGAAACCACTTGCATCAATGGCAACAGAAATTGGTTGGTTTGCGATGGCTTTCAGCAATGCTGTCTCACTGTTTGCAAGCACATCTTCATATCCGTCTATTTGTGCAGCACTGTTAGCTTCCTTTCTAGTGTTGCAGGTACCAACAACTCCCTCCTAGGAGTAAATTGGCTTCAGTTGTAAGGCCATGATTTTTTATGATGAATTAGAAAGCACTGTCCATCAAACCACCCTCACAACCTTGATCCTCTCCCCCAGTGTCACGGTCTACCAGCTCCTGCTCAGAAAGGGAGATAAGTTTCCCAATTGTTTTCTCATGAATTGCTTCAATCGCTGTCCCCGCTGAAAATGCCCAGCAACATCCTCTATATATATATTTTTTGAAATTACAGATAGAGTCGATTAGAAACAATTACTTATTCTTCCAACAATTTTATCAAAACTATTTTTGAAGAACTCACCACATTGGCCTTGGTCCTTCACTGGTGTCCCCCTTTTCTTCCTCCAATCCACTGTAGCTGGTACAGCAATAACAGTTTTATATTTGAGGGAAATGGCATTGTTAGAGCACATATGACCCTTGAACCTATTTTGTTTCGCATTGAATTCTTCGTTTGTAAGACCTGCAAATGCATTGATGCCTAACTTGTGAAGCTTGTCATTGGCATTGTTAAAAGCTTCTATACGTGCCACATTATCCTGAAAAATCTTGAAACGCTTCTCCTTCTCGTAATTGTTCACGTACACACGTCCATATTGAGCCATCCATTGCTCATACCTCTCATACAAGGGTGCATCTTGAAGCGTTCGCGAAGTGGCTTGGGAAATCCAAGCTCCCAAGGAGAAGAACAAAGCCAAGTAAATGCTATTGAACTTCAAAGAAGCCCTTGGGAATTTTTGATGGATTAAGTTTGAATGATTGGGCAGGTATATGGACTGCATGAATACTTGGATGATTTATATAAAAATTCTTCTTCTGTTTATGAGGAATCTATGTACCAAAAAAATATCTTGATTCTGACTTGCATCATTTGTCTTAATGTCAGTTTTTGTCATTTCTTTTAATTTTTATTCATGAAACAAGAAATGTTGCACTGCATCGTTTAATCCACTCATGGGAAGAGAGACATCAAATAGAGATAGATGATGGATTAGCATTCAAGAGGAGTACTATAATTGGATGCAATGTTAAAACAACTTGGTAATTAGGAGAATTAGTTTCACATTAGAAATAAATTAAAAGCTAATTCATTTAGGTTGACTCAAGTGTTAAGGAGTAATTTAAACTATGTTGAGAATATAGGTTCAAATTCCTCCAATGGGATTTCACTACAAACAACCTAATGGTCTCACCCTTATCACCTTTGAAAATGAAGCTTTATCGAGTACTTATGGGCACACAATTTGTAAATATTTATAGATTAATTAGGTCAAAGGTTTAAAAACTCATGTTAATTAAGAAAATAAAAAGAATTGAGGAGGTTTTGATTGATTGAGACTTTACACAAAATCACTATGCAAATTACAAATACAAGCAATAAAGACTAGTGTGATTGGCTAAGGTTTAACATCAAACAAAATTTTTGACTTAAGAAATAGGCAAAAAAAATTCAAAATTTGTGTTGTTAGAGATGCTTTTTCATCTAATGAGTCAAAACCAACTGGTTTGTAGCCATTGGTAGAAAGCTTGTTACATGAGTAATTTAGAAAGACTAAAGAGAACTCAACACAAAAAGGGGAAAGAAGAAGAAGAAGAAGAAGAAGAAGAAGAAGAAGAAGAAGAAGAAGAAGAAGAAGAAAGAGAAGAAATAGAAGAAAATTGCTAAAGTGTGAAGATCTAATTTCGAAAGGTTAAACTCAATTTAAGTCCCTTAACTATTGTATAGATCCCTAATTTGGTCCACAAACTTTAAATCTCACTTTTTGAT